AGAGAGAGAGAGAGAGAGAGAGAGAGAGTGAGAGAGAGAGAAATACAAATTGGGTACAGAAGGTAGCGAAGAGAGAAAATTAAAAAGGGAAAAAAGAGGAGGAAGAAAAAGAAGTTGGCTATTTGGCTCAAGGACGCGGAGAATTCTTAGATTCAAGAACGAATGAGCATTCAGATCCACTTAGCTAAAAACGTAGGTTTTGAGGGGAGCTTGACCAGGGCCTCTCTGACAAGAACCAGCTGTTTCTCCAACGTGCCTTTGTGGCATGTTGACAGGCGTTATGGTATGTAGGCAATAACTTACTGAAACATCGCTGGGAATCATTCGTGTCTATCAAAACACCATTCATTAACATGCCCTCCGGATATCAAAATACGAAGTAGCCTTGACTTCGTATAATGACCTCTTATATATATATATCGAGATGGAGAAAGAAAAGGTGGAAAGAAAAAAAAGGGGGGAAAAGGGGGGGGGCTAACATTGAGAGGATTTAAGGGGAGAGGGCGTTTGTAAAGACTATGGTAATAAAAGAAACGGAGAATGGAGAATCACGAGAAAGACCGTTGCAGATAGATCAACAGATAAACCAATAAACTGATAAAACAGTACGAACAGGAGAATGGAAGGGCTTGGATGGATTGATAGACAGACAGACAGACAGGCAGACAGACAGAGAGACAGAAAGACAGACAGACAGATAGATAGACAGATAGATTTAGAACATGCATGCAAGTCTTTCAGATTAGCTTGAGTAAACATAAGCACGTAAAAAATGTGTTCTCCTTTTTGAAAAAAAAAATGTCAGAAACACAGAAGCACCTAATGGAAAAGTAAACTTAAGCCCCTTGTTTGGACCCTATTTGACCTTCTACGCACATAAGGTCTCCTCTTTCGGAGGGGACACATTATGTTGGTTGCCGTGACGTCAATTAGAAGAGACGCTCTGATCTGACCTTTTTATTTGTTTAAAGAATGCAGTTTCTAAGATCCTTGAATAGACGTAAAGGCCGTGAACATGTAGCTCTCAGTGGCAAAATTGAAGGTAAAGGAGACTGGGGTAGGCCT